CTTCTTGTCAGTAATTCCATTGGTCGGTCAGAGTTTGCCAAAGGTCGGTCTGACGTGACCCGTAATGGGATGTCCTCAGATCTTTGTTTAGCAGCAGCAAGAACTAAGATCTGATTTAAATGAGATTGCACCTTAGAATGACGTCAGGCGTCATGTTGTTTTCTAATTTTCAAATGGTAAGCATGTGGATATGTTATTCCAGCAGCAACAATTGACTTTAGTTAACCACTTTGAACAGCATTTCAATCATCTTCCCAAAGCAAGGGCCTGAACTGACTCTAAAAATCCAGTTTCCACACTTGCCGAACAAGGCAGGAATTTCTGGACTCGATCGTAGCGCCATCAGTGGCTATTACGAGTTATGTCCCTGCTACTGACTAATCAGATTCCACCTCTCATATCACTTGCAGTTGCTCCAAACAAAATGGTGGCACCCAGTCAAGACGATCTATTTAAGATCTATATTGTAATAAAACAGGTTTTACCTCCTGAAATGTATCAAATAAGGTGAGCATTTTGATTAAAAACATGAAAAGATTTGGAAAGTATCTGTTGACGCCTAGATGATACACATCCTTTGCAAAACTTGCGGTACCGAAATCTGCATGTTGAAATCCAAGTTGTTTACGAACCAGATGTTGATTTCATTACGCGATTTTGATTGGACTTTGATTGGACTCGTTATTCCCGACAAAACATAACTCTGTAATTCCAGCCTAGTTTAGCAAGGATGAAAACTGTACTTTTGCAGTCAGTTAACTCCCTTGACTCAGGAAGATGCATTTAAATCACATCCAGGCACGTCGGCAGGATGAGGGAGGAAAGCCTGACATGATGAAAATCTTAGGTGGGTACTGACAAACCTAGAACATAATCAGAGTGACTTGGGATTCAAACCCAAGCTGACAAGCAGATAAGCTGGTCTGCTGTAGCCCTCTGCAAAAACTAGACATTCCTATTCTTAAAGTTCATCTAGGGATTTGGTTTCCTTGTTTGACAAATGTCTGTGTGGACTGCTTGACATATTTCACTCTCATTAAAATCAGATCTTACTTCACACTACCGCTAAACAAAGATCTGAGGGCATTCCAGTAACAGGTCACGTTAGAACGACCTTTCGCAAACTTTGAACAACCAATAAAATGAAGAACTAGAAGTCAACATTGGCCAATCAGAAAGAAGCTTTCTCTAGCTTTATGTCACTAGTTTCAAACTGGCAACTTCCATTCCAGACTAAGCTTTAAAAAATATATATTCAAAATTTTAAAATTAAACATAAGAACATCCTCAAATGTCTATATATGGCAGAGATTGTATGGCAGTACTTCCCATTGGCTATGTAAAGTCTCTTTTGTTCCAAATGTTTATTCCACAGAAGCGAGAGATAGGATGGATTAAGGCAAACAGCCCATAACTGGTGTTCGGAATGCCCCGTGTCAACCCTTCTAGGTTAGCATTATTAGAAAACACATTCTGACTGTCACTTTCCTGATCTGGTAAGCGACGCTCTGATTGGTCGGATACAGGGACGTTCTGACGTGAGTGAGATGGGATGCCCTCAGATCTTCGTTTGGCAGAAGCAGGAACTAAAATCTGATTTTAATGAGATTGGGTATCTTTGCAGTATTTGATTGCAACATAAAAACATTTTATATGACAAAGTGAAACTATTTCACTTATAGGAAAAATGTTACCGGGATGTAAATTTGACAAATATCATCATGATTTGCAACTTTGAAACAAATTTGTAGAATTTTCCTATTCGGAATATTCTATAAGTAATACGTTACCACTGTTATACCGAGGCTGTTGTCTCCCACAACTGCTGTTATAGCGAAATCTACCACAGAGATCTCAATTACCTCATGCAGCACGTGCGTAGCCACCTAGCTGCCATGTGACACCCTTCACTCTTGTCTCCTGCGAGAGCAAGTGCTCGGGGGACGGACGGGCGGGCAGCAGCCCAGTGGTAACGTATTACTTATAGAATATTCCGAATAGGAAAATTCTACAAATTACATTAAGTAATACGTTACCACTGTTATACCGAGGCTGACTACCACAGTAGGCGGTGGGGAGCACCTACAACCCGAATCCTGACTGCTAGCGTTCCTTCCGACCAGCGGAAGTAAACACCAAGGCGGAAGCACTCGATGCGCATGCACCTAGCTAGGCGTTACCCTATAGGAATACCAAAGCACTGTCAAGCGCATACCGTAAGGCTCAATCGTCATTGCCAAAACGATTGGTGACTCCAAACGGCCCCACTGGATAGGTATTTCATCGCCGCAGCGGATGAGAACACTGTATCCGCGTGAGCTTAATCTTAGATCAGGTTAAACAGTCGAAAAGAGGGAAATTAATTTCATTCAGACCGTATATCCCAGAGCAAGCCTACTTAAAGTATGCATTAGGCGCGTGACCTAATTCCAGTATTTGTAAGCATGCATCACAAGGTTGGGATACACGACAGACAATTAAAGACATAATTGTCAAAATACAAATAAGGACAAAGCACACAAAAAGCCGCCCTCACCTGTGGTGTGAGTGCGCTGGTTTGCGGGACCCCAACTCCTGTACCCACTGCAGTGGGAACATTGGAGTCGACCCAGATTGACCACCGTGCAAGGTCAGACGCCTGAGGAGTTCGGAATTGCGCTGGGCACACCCCTTAGGTGCCCGCTTGCGCCGCGATCCGCGGGCCAAGACGGTGCACACTCTCCACGACGGCATCAGCGACCTGTTTGAGGTAATGATTGGCAAAAACCGAGTCAGAACGCCAGTAACAACCTCGTAATATTCTGCGAACAGAGATATTCGAGTGTAGGGCAAATGTTGCCGCTAGCGCCCTGATCTCGTGCGGGTTTGACCCCGCTACCGGTAACCCCCGAGACCGGTACGCCAGATTGATGACAGAACGAAGCCACAACGCAATCGAGTTGCGAGTTATGTCAACCGTGCGATTAGGGTTACACGATATGAACAGACGGTCACGCCCTTGTCTACGTTCATTCGAAGCCTTAAGATAATACTTAAGGGCCCTAACCGGACACAGCGCTCTGTCCTCAGTATCAGCAGGATGTAAGATTTCTTTGAGTGATCTTACAGTTCGATTTGAGATCAAGCCGATAGCCGTACCGAATCGTGTTGACCACCCACGAGTCGTCGAACACTTGTTCCCAATTCTCCCAGTAAGTCTGGAGTCTGGCTCCCACTGGGGAAGGAGAGGGGGCCCTGACAGGTTGCGGCAGGCGCAACTGTCCAGGGACAAGTGACTCGGGTTCGCCTAAGGGCCAACCGAAGTTGGCGCTGTCGGCATACGAACCCCTCCAATGAGAGTCACCTGGAGGGGCCCTTGCCGTCCGTCGACGACTTGGGCTTCCCCCAGTTCCCCGTCTTCCCGCGAAAGGGCAGCTGATTGCCCATACTGGAGCCCTCAGGGCGGGGCTACTTCCCAGAGGAAGAAGAACCCGACCCCTTAGACCTACAGGCCGCAGCAGCCTGGGGCGCGCTCCGGTTAGGAGCGGCACCCAGGCGCCTATGCAGGGACCCAACAAGAGCAAGTGTGTGCCGAGAGTCCTCGGCAACGAACTCCAGGGAAGCATTTAAACTGAGCAGGCAGTTGTAAATGCGCTGGTCACGGTCCGTGGGAGAACCTTCGACCAGACGGGCCGCTGCAGCCAAGTAAGTGTCTCCGTGAGACATGGAGTGCCGAGCGAGGGCGTCCAGCTGGTGCAAGGTAGCTTGCGTTACCGTAGCAGCCGGTGGGGCACGGACACCCAACCGCTCAACATGGGCCTCCGCGGTAGGACCAGCCTCGGGAAAGGCAAGGTCATGTACCGGGAATAAACCCTTTCTCCACGACGTCGGAGGCAACGGGAGACCCCGACCGAAGGCCGCCGCGAAGGCGTTCTCCAAGGAAGGCTTGAAACCGCGCAGCAAGGTCGATGCGGGGAAAGCCGTGTCGGAAGACTCATCGTATACCTCGGAGGAACCCACAGTCGTGGATTCCCCGCGGTACCGGCCGGGGCATGTCCTCAAAGAGGTCATAAACCATGGCCACGCGGTCCTAAACCGATAGCGGGAGCAACGGTTCGGGGGAAGGACCCCGCGTCCGACCCCGCGGCCACCGAAGAGGCCGGGGACGGAACAGCCAGCAGCCTATCTTGGGATAAGGCCGCCAGCTTGGAGTCCACAAGTTTCGACAACAATGCGGCGACGGAATCCCCAGACAGCCCGAGGGCCGCAAGGGGATCCACCGCAGCCGAGGAGGTGGTACCCGAACGGGGACCCCGACCGGACGAACCGGCCACCACAGGGGTGGAGACGGACTGTACGTACAGCCGGTACCGCTCAAACTCCGCAGGCCCCAGACCTTCGCACAGGATGCACCGGGTGTCCCCGCAAGGAACCCTGCACCGCGGGCAACGATCGTGGGGATCCCGGGACGACAAAAACTTTCTGCACACCCCACAACTCCGAGGAGCAAGGGTAGAGGGGGTGGATACTGGGGACATATCCATGTCAGACATTGATTGTTTGCTATAAACAAAGAACAAAACATGGTTACAACGCACGCACCACAATGATTCACAAACGAACATTTTCACAAGAAAATAAACGAGCAATGTGAACATATAACATACACATATAACTTTTATTAAAGAAATAAGTTATGTTAACCCCCAAAACACACAAGAACAGGGGAAACGTAAAACACAACGTGCATACGCGAACCCCGCAAGTATATAGAAAAAAGGGCGGGAAAATTTTTTCGTTTGGCGGGAAAATTATAACCAAGCGTAGCTACCGCAACGACCCATAAAAGCACAGTTTATTAGAGAATAAACTATAATAAATATCACCAAATCTTCAAGGAACGCTTCAGCAGGAGAAAACACGTCTTGCTAAGCAGACGAAGGAGACAAGAGTGAAGGGTGTCACATGGCAGCTAGGTGGCTACGCACGTGCTGCATGAGGTAATTGAGATCTCTGTGGTAGATTTCGCTATAACAGCAGTTGTGGGAGACAACAGCCTCGGTATAACAGTGGTAACGTATTACTTAATGTAATTAGTTTGGCACTATAGTATGCGTCCCAATCAGAGGTAGCACTAATTCATTTTAGGCAATTGTGGTGCTTGCATTATACCGGATACCTGGCGGCCATATTTGTTTGATATTTCAAAAAAGTGGAACATGACAGCTAGACTATTCGAAAAAATAGAGCAACAAAGCTCAAAATAAGCACAAAAACTGACCCCTCATACATTTGTATGGTTCAATATGACTGAACCATGAACATGATGAAATTGAATATCAAAGTTATTCATAAACATCAGAAATCAGACATCAGCATTGAAAAATTACTCGAAACTTCAAGACCAAAAATGACATCATCGGATACATGTTTTGGGCCTACATTTCAACATATCTAATAAACATGTAGCATTTTTCTTTTTAACTCTGGTGTCTGTATAAGACATTTACTTATGAAAGCCTTCATTACAATTACTTGTGTGTGTGTGTCGGGGGGGGCCAAAACCCCATTAATTTAGCGAGACAGCTGAAAAACTTAGAAACCGTTACTAAGGAAGAAGCTCACGCGTACCCCCTTACCAAAGTGGCCGATGGTATCCGGTATGCTGCAATCTAGCCGCAAATGTCCTTACGGTGATATGTAAGAATGATTTTAATTAGTGGTATGGCTTAACTAGGCCATAATTAAAAAATGACAAATCTTTTTAAAATAACAGCAACTTCATCTTACTTCAGCCTCTCTGGCACTAGAGATGAACAATCAACAACATGACATTATATGTAGTAAAATGAAGAGGTGAAACGATACAGCAAGGTCATGATACGATACAAAGGTTACGATACCATGCACATCGTGATGTGCATATTTATGTCTAATCGAGTGGAAATGTCTTGGCCATAAATATTTCAGAGCAGGTTCAAAAGGAAAAGCTCGCTATAGATACATGTTAGTTGCAGCTATTTTTAGTCGTGAACTTAATTACAACACATCTTGTATTGATACAGAAAAAACGTATCATGTATCGTATCGGCGCATGAAAACTCACGATGCACCGATGTATCGTTTCACCTCTAGTAACATGAACACGCAAGAATTAAATGTTGAGAATGCAACAATATAATCATCTTTCAGTGCACACGTTTGATTTTCTTTCATTAGAAAAGGAATGATAAATCGGTCAAATGGCTTCAACATGTTCAACAGATGACATTAACAATCACTAACAAACAATATTCCATAATCACTGATAATTAAATGCATAAAATCAATAATATTCATATATTTCCAAAACTTCATACTGATTATCCATATCACGCCTCAATTATGACTGGCCCATACTAATCTGAAATCAGAATAATGACTGGTCAAGATCTGAAGTCAACCCTTTGATAGGTCAAAGTGTATCGGGATCAGCTTCACACTGTGGTATACAAACTTCTCCTGTGAGAATTCTTTTCAGTTTCTCCTGCTCGGTGTCTCCAAAGCCGATGATCTCCAGGTAAGTTGCCACAGAGCCATACCTGGTAAACATTGAAAAGAAATTGCATCAAAGTTGCAGTATTACAGCTTCCCGAGGCAAGGGAGTTAACTGACTGTAAAAGTCCGGTTTTACTTCAGCAATTTGATTAAAAACCTGAAAAGATTTGGAGAACATCTGTAGACTCCCATTTGACAGTACACATGCTCTGCAAATCCTGCAATCGACACGGCAGTCTCCAGGTTGTTTATTAACCGAATATCGATTCCGTTCTGCGATTTTGATTGGATAATGCATAGACTCATTAGTCCAGCCAAAATGTAACTCCATAATTCCGGCATAGTTTGGCAAGGGTGGAAGCTGGGCTTTTATAGTCCGTTAACTCCCTTGCCTCGGGAAGATGGCAGTACTATGAAGGGGATCATGATAGTTTTGTTTGTCTGTTTGTTGTTTAACACCTCACTCAGCAATAGTCCAGCAGTGTTCATTTCAGAGACTGGAAAAGCGGGGCCCAATTACCCCTGCCTTTCTAAGACTTGGGTACATTTGAGGAACCCAGGAGACACACATATATTTTTTGATAAAGACATAAAACTTTAAGAATGTTACCTTTGTCACTGTCAATCAGTGCCATTTCATGTATTCACATTATGTGACTTTTTTCACTTTTCAAGGAAGATCCGGGGTAGAATAGGTCTTCAGCAACCCATGCTTGCTGTAAAAGGCGCCTATGCTTCTCAAAAGAGGTGACTAACAGGATTGGGCGGCCAGGCTCGCTGACTTGGTTGATGCATGTCATCGTATCTCAATTGCGTAGATCAATGCTCATGATGTCAATCACTGGATTGCCTGGTCCAGACTCGATTATTTACACACCGCCATCATAATGCTGGAATATTGCTGAGTGCGGCGTTAAACAACAAACAAACAAAACAAATAATTCATTTTTCAAAGACAATTCATTTTTCAAAGACAGTTTATTCTCCCAGTCAGAGTAAAAGAATTACACTTTTTTAAGTTTGTTCAAGATAACTATTGTTAACCCAGTACATCAGCTGCAGGTTTTCAGACCAACAAACATCAATTAAAAATTGAATAATTTGGAATCTCCCCAGTGCTTTCTTTTCACCAATGCCAGTGTTCTGCCCAGAAACTGACCAAGTGGGGACAGGGACCCCTTCAGCATAAATACATCGTCTGATGTCATAAATATGAACAATTTGTTTGTGATCACTGCCATCAGCATGTCTCTTCAAGGTATTTGTCCTAAAATTAGACCGTAGCTTTGTTATTGAATTAGATTTCATGTGAATTATTCAAAGCTGACACGTTGTAGTATTTCTTTCTGAGTTACACTGCAAACAAGCGTAGTCACGTAGCCAGATTCGCTGAAAATTTCTACCTTTCTCAGTTTTTCTACCTTTCCACAGTCTGTCACCATGGTCACTCTCAGGTGAGTCATACACAACTTTCTGTGTATCACAACATAACATTATCAGAATTATGACTACCATATTAGTAAAAATGTGTAAACTCGATTCTGATTGGACCACTTGTGAGTTTCAGCCAATGAAAGTTGCTGATAGAAAATTGAGATGCATAAGGCCACAAAAATCACGACGTTTACATTCAATAATAGAAGCAGTTGTCTGAGAGAAGCAACTTGTTTTTGAGACAGTTGGTGACTCCAATAATTATCATATTTTAAAAGAACCATCTACATGAATGCGCTCGAGTGTGCATAAATATCATGCATCAATCAATAAATTACTGCAAGAATCCTGTGAGGCAGCTGCCCTGGCAGAACACTGGACGCCAAGATAAGTAACAGGGATACGAGATCGTAAAATGAAATCTTCAAGCAGATTGGGCTTTGTGATGTAAGGGAGATAACTCATTCTTGGAACCGATTATTCCAGCCAATCAAAACATGTGTTACATTGCAACAGTCAATTTATTCGGAACTTATAGCTAATCTTGTCATTAATGATGCTTACCAAACATGCTGAAGACTTTCAAGGTTACGATAAATGATTAATGTATTCCAATAGCTAAAACGATGAAACTTAGTGTTGAATTAAAGTCAATAGTTGACGATACAATCAAAAGCACATTTTAGTTCTTGGATATAATGTTGTGCATTAGGGGCACGGTGATATTTATTTTTGGGGGCATTAGTAATTTTGAAAATTTCTTAAATGAACACTATTTCAGCCATACGACAGCTGCCTGTAAATAACTGAGTCTAGACCACATAATCCAGTGATTGATATTATGAGCATGATCCATGACATCAGGGTGTTCTGACATGCCACCAACCAAGTCAGCGAGTCTCACCACACGTACATGAAGTTGCCTCTCATGACCACCATAGGCTACTAGGGATCTATTCTTATTACTTGCCCGTGAAGAGATCACCCCTTTAATAGACATACAGCTGTATTACACATTGTGTAATACCAAACACGTGCTTATGCACTCTCGGAACACGTTTCACAAATTTTGAAAGCTCTCAACATCCCTTGGCTTATTCAACGACATTGCGTGTGAAGATGATAGATCACTGAGAGGAGCTTATGCACACTCGATGACCCCAGCAACATTGTTGCTAGGTTGACGTCACATGGCATTGTTTCGCCTAAAGGATCTTGCAACAAAATTCCACAAATTACGTCATCGGGTATTGTGACGTGATTGTAAACTTTGAGGTGCAAGGCCCCATTCCACAAGGCGATCGTACGGGGTAGCGCGACGACAGTCGTTGGTCTAAGTTAAAGTATATGAATTGCGATAACCTTAACGCTACGATAATTTTGTGGAACGGACGCCTGAATTCTAAAGGTGGACTGTTGTCTGGTATTAAATTCATACGTTTCAACTTTTGACGTGTTTGAAGTATTACTGTGTTAAACTCAATTGGATTATGCCGTGGATCGTGTAGGTGTCAGCCTATTCACACTCAACAGTATAATTCTAAAAACGTATTAAATGGCCAGTAATAAATAAAATACTAAACTCGCTCCCGTGTAAAACCAATTTTATGAAACTCGTGAATAGTTATGGTATCTGACTCGCTTTCGCTCGTCAGATACCACAACTATTCACTCGTTTCATAAAATTGGTATTACACGGGAGCTCGTTTAGTATTCTATTCTTATCCGGAATCCCCACAGAGTGTCAGTGATCGACACAGATGTGCATCATGCTCTTACTTGTGTTCAATGTAGTTGAGCAGCTGCAGCATGGTGTCGGCCCTGGCGGTCAGGAAGTCTTCACTCATGTGGTACCTCTCCACAATCTCCTTGTTCATCCTCTCACGCATGGGAATCACCCCGGTCTACACAACAAAACTACTCATTAAACCAGCAAATCTGGACTTAAAATTGACAAATCTTTTTAAAATCAGATACCGTATTCGACGTAATAAGCGCCCCGCTCTAATAAGCGCCCATGTCGACATTGGCTAAGATATTGGCTAGTGAACAATCCCAATTAGCACCCCTTCCGATTGATCAATGTACACAAGACTTATTTATTCGCGTAAAATACACACTCGTGTGTTATATGCACCCTTAATTATGGGCATTTAATTCTGGAAAAATATATCTGCCGTACATAAACATTTCAGGCTGTCAGCATAAACCACGAAATTTATCTTTCAACTCTGTTTTTTTTAACAAAATAACATTCTAATAAGAGCCCCCTATTTCTAATTTTGAGACCGCCCTGGGCGCTTATTACGTCGAATACGGTAATAGTTCTCGCTATTGCTGAGAAAACATCTGAGAAAATCCCATTACAGGTCATGTCAGAACAATATCAGGGAACATTCATCGACCAAAGAAATGACTGACAAGAAGTCAAAATTAGCCAATAAGAAAGCAGTTTTCTTGAGCTGTAAGCATGGTAAGCCACTGGTTTCAAACTGGCGACTTTCATTCTATAGAACACTTTAAAAACGTGGCCCTGATTGTATGGCAGTACTTCCAACGGGCTATGTGAAGTCTCTTCCGTTCCAAATGTTTATCCCATTGAAGCGAGAGACAGACAATAACTGGGACGGAGTCAGTCATAGAGCCCCATAACTGTCGTTCAGAATACCCTGTGTTAACCTTTTCAAGGTAGCATGATAAGAAAACTCATTCAAAGTGTAACTGATCTGGTAAACGCGCTCTGATTGGTCAGATGAATGGTCATTTTGACAGGACCTGTGAAGCATTGTCCTCAGATCTTTGTTTAGCAGAAGCAAGGATCTGATTTTAATGAGATTGAAAGTGAAGTTGGTTGGTTTGTCGTTTAATGTCGCATCCAGCAATAATCAAGCTATATGACAACAGCCTGTAAATAATTAATTCTGGACCAGATAATCCAGTGATTGATATTGTTAGCGGAGATCCACATCATCAGGGTACGATGAAACTCTATCAACCATTTACCGAGCCTAACTACCCAAACCATGTTACGACCAGGATAGGTTGCTAGGGATCTCTTCTAACCCGGACTCGATCCCCACAGGGTTGAAGTCATGTGAGTGGCTACTGCTTAATCATGCAGTGAGCAATATTCCATCATCATCATCATCATCATCATCATACGTGATAACTGGTCACTAGCCATTAGTGTTCACTGAACTTTGAAGACAGTCACTATATATAAGCAACAAACAGAATGACTGTATCTAACTCTACAGCGGCTACTGACCTCGGACTTGGCATATTCTTCAGCAATTTCCTGTTTGGATTTGCCGTTACAGGAAAGGATAAGTGCAGAGACAATTCCAGTACGATCTTTCCCATGAGCACAGTTGATGAGGATGGGAAAGTTGGCTTCATCACACATTAACTTCAGAGCTGAAACAACATTCTTAGGTAACATTACCATGCATCATGTCCATCCAAACTTAACATTTTCCAAAGTATTTTGAAAGGAACCATGCACCTAAAACTACTATCATTACGATTTATTACAAAGAAAAGATGAATGATAGCAAACCAATTATGATGTTATTAAGATGAAGTGTAAAGTTTGAAATGCCGTTAAATTTAAAAATAACTCTATTTTTTAAAAATATTTTTTGGTGTGGATGCTCTTTAAGGTAATTGTCTGTAACAGATATATTACCTGCACATATACTCCTCTGACTGAGGTCTACCATATCCTTGTACTGCCCTATTATTCCAGTGCAATTAAGTACATTGCTCACAAAAAATCTTACAAAGTGTTTGTAGCCTGTATTGAACACGAAATCATAAAGAAGGAACAGTATGGAGTACAGTTTCTTGTACCAAGGTGCGCGATTCAGGATTGTCCATACATAACTGCCAGCGAAGAAATCAAGAAGAAAATGTGGTTGTTTGTACTTTGAACTTCTGATATCTCTCATTGTCAGCTGTACACTCTTGTTCTTGTTGCAAGTTCTCTTTTCCAGAGGCACAAAGTTCACACATTCTTTCGGTTTATAATTCCTGCCACTACCGGTGGGAAGTTTAATGTGGTACAAATCAAAATCAGCATCCAAAGGTTTTGTTCCCGTAGCATTTGCATACTCTTTTCTTCCTCGAAAATCAATGATGCATTTAATCCCAAGTTCACGGAACTTCTGTAAGTCATTGGGTTCTAAAAGGTCCGGCCTCGATGACCGGTAAATAAGTCCAGTCGGTCGCCTACAGTTGGCATAATTTGTGCTACACAGTACCCTCAAATTGGGTAGCGAAGGTAGATGGGGAACTGTCAAAGGTCTCACTTCACTGGAGGCATCCATGTTGCTGCCTCGGAGTAAAATAACAGGTGGTCTTTATTGGTCGATATTAAAACCCGGCTTGGATACTCTACCCCTAACAACAACTGTTAAAAGCCTGACAATTTCTTTATGCCAAGTTATCCAGCGGTTACCCAAAGACGTATATACAATCTATATACGTCTTTGGGTCACCCTCAACTCAAAATAAAGAAAAAAGTTTCATATTTCACAATTCAGTATCACGTAAAGAAACATAACATTCATGTTAAAATACAATTAACCTATTTGCATGATTTAAGTGCGATGGGATACTACTACGTACGCCGTACAACATATTTACTGACATAGATCTCTAAATTAATCTTTGATACCAAACTATTTTAGTGAATGTTGTTGTTTTACACCACATTTAGTCTGACCAAACAAACCAGTGATTGATGTAATGAACAACGTTCCAGGCCGTCTGAGTATACTGACAGCCTGACCACCCGATCCTACTTAAACGCCATTCTAAACAAGCTGCTGATCAATTCTAACCCGATGCAGAGTGAATTTAGCTTTAGCAATGAGGCATCTCTTTCATGTAGAGCACCCTTGTGGGTAATCGATCCTCTATAATAAGCTCACGTTAACGGTTTAACCGCTAGCTTCATAGTCTCACACCGCCGGGCTTGGTTGCAGAGATATAATAACTATAATAGCTATAATATGTTTTATCATCCAAAACTGGCTCCCACAGGAGATATCGCTTGGATGAGATCAAGCGATATCTACACTGTAGATATCTCTGCAATGAAATTACATCACAATGCTTTGCAGACCATTGTGACATCACTGGTTACCATGACGTCACAATCAAATGACATCACTAATGGCTCTGCTACTGAAGCTGTTAGCAGTACTTTTTTCACTGAAGACACTGCTAATTACTGTCTCCAAATTGAAAAAGTTGGAAGAATGATGTTGGATGATAAATAAAATCTCACCCTCTTGTCTTTTGACTTCAAATATATCAACACTCGTTGATAAAAGTGGCAAAAATCCTCGGCAAGCCTCGGAATTTTTCCACTTTTATCAACTCGTATTGATATATTTGATATCAAAAGACACTCGGGTGAGATTCTCTATATATATGACAACTATACTCACCGCCAAAAGAAACGCGAATTATCACGGACACATATAGAGAGGTATGTCCGACTTTTCCAATGTGTACCAATTAATGACAAAACTAACAATCAGTCAAGTGTTACCACAGAGTGTCTTTATTCTTATTACGATATGCTGCATGTGATTTCCAGACTTAACACGCTCATCCTGCACGAGACAAATGGTGCATCTGGAGTCATGGATCTATATGGGGCGGTCGGGTAGCCTAGTGGTTAAAGCGTTCGCCCGTCACGCCGAAGACCCAGGTTCGAATCCCGACATGGGTACAATGTGTGAAGCCCATTTCTGGTGTCCCCCGCCGTGATATTGCTGGAATATTGCTAAAAGCTGCGTAAAACCATACTCACTCACTCATGGATCTATGACATCACATGTGATGCGTTCGTCAGCGTCGATTCACACAACATACCAGTATGTTCGTTTGTGCAACGAACAAATCTAATATCTCTTGAATATGAATAATTCTTCATATATTAACATGTATGACATTCGTGTTTCTTTTGGTGGTGAGTATAGATATATACTAGAAATCTTTTGATGAGGTAAAATATTTGGCTGTAGATATATAAAATTATTCTAATGTCTGGAAAGGTTCGGTAGCGTTGATTTCAATAAGTCAACTTTATCTATCTAAAATTAGATTAGTTATATATCTAGAATTCATAGGATGCAGTGACCAGTTTGACATAGCAGTGCTAAATCTATTTAGCACCATCTAGTCTTCCATTCTTTTCTTCATGTATATATGCTTTGATATTCTTGGGTGGGTCTAGAATCTTTTATTAATTATAAGGTCGGACAGTGAGCCAAAAAAATGTTATTACTGAATTCCCTGAAAAAAATGTGTTAGATATGAGTAGATATAAAAAACTGGACAGTCCGTCTCCATGGAGATCCGTACCTTCATCCAAATCAACATCGTGAGTGAAATGTGAATTGAATGTTCGAAATTTATAATGATTGGTGTTTATTGAATTAGAAGTGTTCAAGATGTTGAATGTGCGTAAATAGTACTATGAATAAAATGCTAAATATTGCTATGAAAATGTCTATTAAAGTGTATCAGATTAAGAGTGCTCAAAATGTATGCTAGAGTATGTAAATTTAGTGCTTGAATAAATGTTTATTGATATATATTATGGGGTCGTTTTCGTGGTCTATATGCATGGCTATCGCAATCCGGCCAGTCTCGGACATCTTGCTATGATATCGACTTGTTATAAATCCAACAACTCTGAAAATAAATGGGCTCTCCACATTTGTGTACGCGTCATCCAGATTTGTTAACGCGTCATCCAAATTTGTTATCGAGTCATCCAAATTAAGTACGAATGCTCCAATCAGGCACGGACCGAACGGGAATTTTAGGTGCGGGTTGACCATTTTCGGTGGGTACGATTCTCCGAGGGAACGAATCGCCTAGTATCCGAAATAAAAATTGTATGTCCCGAAACAGTGAACAAAAATTATGTCATCAACAAAAATCTAAGGTGCCACAATTTTAGGACGAGATTTACGGGTATTTGTGGTACCATGCAGCCAGTATCGTTACCCTATGCTAAAAAGCACATTCTTTGACATCAACTACCTCATATAACCATTGACTAAAACTAGAAACATGTTAGTGCTGTTATTACAACGGAGCTGCGATGAGACTGGCCTTTGTGATACATGCACTACGTGTACTTGAGATTGCAATACAGTTTTAAATAATTTTGATGTAGTTGCTTGAGTTCTAGAACCATCATCTTTAAATGACGGAAATATGTTTGTGCTCGTGCGTAAATGGAAGGCGGTATTTGTTCCTATACCGGTAGAAGTTCTGTGTCTCAAAATATTGAAATACTAGTTATTAGGAAACTAGTCTACGTCTAAACTTGTAGGGAAGGGAGACAACACATACAGGTCAAAACATCAGCTGAAGAAATATTGAAAATGACAGATGAAGACGATTCTTCCGTTGAGGAAATTATTTCAATACGAGAAATCGCACCAAGGCCTGTTCCAAGGGCGAAGCATCCTTTCATCACGCATGTCAGGGAAGGATACGAACAGTCTCACACAGACTCCATGCGCCGACAGCCAGGTGCCCGCTCCTTGCCGTCATCACCTCACACAGGTGTCAATCACATCTCGGTGCGTACCTGTGTGGGGAGTCCACATTTTTGTTAAACTGGGTTTTACAGGTTTTCATTTTGTTTGTGGCTAATATTATCAATGATGTCGTAATTTAGTACTTTAGTTTTTGCCGCGGGCAGTTTACAGCACATTTTGGTTTTAATGTAAATTAACGTTGTGTTAATTTGAAAAATTAACCTTAAAGGGGCACTGATCTAACGCAATTCCCCGGACTGGTTGTTGCCTTTGTTATTGTTTTTTCCCCCATGAGTACCCGGATGATACGCAACGCAATTGAGCGTGACCAGAGACTGGGCTACCGTCTGCAGTGACAGCTAAATAAACTTGGAGGTTGGAGGCAATATTTGCTTTACGCATTTTTGCATAAACACTGATTGGTTAACTGTGATCTATAAAGATTTCGACAAAGGGCGCATGCTAATTAATTTCTTCAGCCTAAACAAACAGACAAAATGAACGGCGGAGCTCATCGGATGTCGTCATTTGGAAATACCCCTGATGGTTATGGTTTAATACTAAAAAAAGTATCCATGCAGTGAAAGCATTTTCGGATTCCGGCTTGCGTCGATAATACGATTACTACTCCACGTTTTCTCGTATAACCCTACACTTGTGTATTTGTCGTCATTTACTTGATGCTCAGTTAATTAATTTATTACAGGTACAATTAGTGGTAGCACCACTTAGATTACCTGACAAAGGTTCCCATTTGGCATTTATTGTGTCTGGGGTAATTATTCAATCTAAATCCAGGTTTGAAGTGAGGTGAAATGTGTGTTATGTAATATGCACGTGGCAGCCCAGCAAGAGATGAATGATCAGTTGATTTACTTTTTATGTAAATCAACGGATCGTTCCTAGTCATCAAAGGATTAACAGAAAATACGTTGATTGATTAATCACTGTTATCTTGCACAGTGGATATGTCAAGAGTGAGTGTTTACATGTCTAGGTTTACTAAAACAAAGGGAATACACTCATATCATGGCGTGAAGTGCCGATGTAAAAACAACATACTTTGTTCAAAGGGTTAACTGATAATACGTTGATTGATTGATCATTGTTATCTATCACTCAATGGATTTTTTAGGAACCGTGGACGTTTTGAAAATAGTTGTCACGTTGGCCTTCTCAGCAGACCATTGAGACTTGACACCAATGTAAAACACCTGAAACAATCCAAGTGATCAGTTGAGAAACGAACACGGGTTATAATATCCCGAAACGCTATACATCTTTTAAAATATTTGATTGTTACAGAGACACGTGACATCGAATAAGTTTCTTTGTACAGCTGCAGACGAGTGGGATATTGTTCCTTTTGTGTGGATATTCACGGATACATTCATCTAACAAGGAAGCTGCCTAAAATTTATACACATATATTTGGTAGGTTGTAATTATGATATATGCATTTTGTTTTCCTTCATTTGAACCGATTCGTTCTTGTTTCTCTACGTCTTGGTTGGGAAATTCTTCAATGCGCGATAGACGTTGCTTTCACAGGTCTTTTCCTTTGTAAGCGTGTATATATTACCGTCAATTTGTAAAATGTGATTCTCTCAGGCAATTTATAAAATGTGTAAATATTTCAGTCATTTTGACTAAAAAATCTTTCCAGATTGATTAAGAGGATCAAAAGGGCCTACAAACATCACAACAGATTATTATGTAGGATTAGAAGCCAAACAACATAGAAATGTACTTTTCAACGTAACATTTCCAGTCTTTCGGTGATGACATTAAACATCAAAATGTTTGGAATTCGTTATCATAATAATACAGATGGAAATGTTTTTCAGTCACTTTGTAAAATAACTGAATGTTTAGACGTTTAATAAATTTGTTACACATTTGACAGTAAAAAAATATACACACTATAAAAAAAGCAATGCTCAGGTGAAATATTTACTTTGTGTTGCAAGTCAAAATAGTGTAAACGAAAATCGCAAAATTACCAAGCAAGTGACTTATCAAAACTTCGTCACCATTACCGGTGCTACCCACAAAGATACCTACATTTCCTTATTACCTCGAAAACTGTATTTCATTTTGTTGATCAATGTGACCATACGCCCTTATTGCTACCAATAAAAGTGACTAATGCGCTTACGAATGGCGCAGCAGAGGTCGCGAACTAGTCTAGATTTCTGCTTTACATCCGGGTACTCACTGGGAAAAAACAATAACAAAGGCAACAACCAGTCCCGGGGAATTGCTTTAGATCAGTGCCCCTTTAACCATGCTAACACGCAAGCAGAAATTCGGATATTTTAGTAATCAAAAGAAAGGTGTATTTAATTGATTGATATGCAGGATATTTAAAAAAAATTTAATAACATTTGTTCACTGTGCTGTAGGATACAAACAATTTTATCATGCAATTTAATTGATCAATGTTAGAATTTAATGGGGTTGATTTCGTCCTTGGGGTATTGATGCTATATTAGGCTTGATAAAATACATTTATTTATTTCTCATGTCAGCCCTGCCCCAAATTTTTTCCCCATCCTAATTTCTAAAATATATTTGATCACTGTAAATATAGTACAGAAACAATTCTTCAGCTCACATGCACCATTAATACAAATGTATGTTCATGCTTGACCCACTCATAGTGTCCCGTTGTCCCTGCTGTGTTCCACAGTTGCGGAATAATTTGCAGAACTGCCCACTCCATGCAGAAATGTACTGTTGTTGCAGAAAATAACGTGTAAAAGTTGCATAGGTTTACTGAAACGAAAGTCATTAATTGAATTGTGCATTGTTTTAATTAATTAAATCATTCCAAATAATTATTTAAGGTGTTTGTTTTCTACAGAAAAAAACAGTTTACAAATGATCTTTTAAACATTTTACCTTTTGATAAATGGTTTAATTGAATCAGTTTCATTTGAAGTCAAGTTGACTTTTGTATCATTGCTTACCGAAAGCCAGAATACCAGATTCACTTCAATCAGCTGTTCTAGCCACAGATGTGTTTATAAACAAAATGTCTGCCACAAGTTAAACAGGTGCAAAACTACGGAATTCACGAAAACTAAGCCTTGGAGTTTGCAGAAATGTGTGCAGAATCAATAAAATTTTGGTTGCAGAATTTACAAAAATTGACCACAGAATTTTGATTTTAGGGCCGCAGATAAATCTGAGACTGATAGTATGTCAGAACTGCAGGAGAACATGGCTGGGGTCGCCATGACCTCAGGGCCTCATACTTTCATACTCGATCAGGCTGCAGTGGGCAGCACATTTGAATCCAGTTTACTTTTATAGATTTGTAATCGAAAATAAAATGAAATAAAAAAAGTCTTCCCTACCGACCAAGTCAGTTTTGAAAAATTTAAGAAACCAAACAAATTTTTCCTGTCCTTATGTGTATCTAGGGATGCCTAAATATTAAACTTTTTTATTAGGGTGATAAGGACATCAATTGATGATGAAATCCCCACTAATTCCCTTCTTGTCAATCTCAGTAACTTCTTCTTCAAATGCTGGGGTAGCGGGTTATACAAAACTTGCAAACTTCTATGTGACCGGCGTTGCTCTATGGCTGAAATAATGCTGACGCAACGTTAAAGTTTAATTTTTCTCATGCTATGTCACTTGCAGATTATTTATTTTTCAGCCACGAGACAATGTTGTAAAACTGGGGCAGTTTCCACCAATCATATCACTGAATGTTGGCGGAATGGTGTACCAGACACGACTCTCCACACTTTTGAAGTACTCGGACTCCATGCTAGCGGCCATGTTCAGTGGCCGTCACAAGGTCGACCAAGACAAAGATGGCCACTACTTCCTGGACACCAACGGTGCCGTGTTTGGCCACATTCTGGAATACCTCCGCTACGGGACAGTTCCGCCGTCCGACTTATCCACCGCTGTCTACAGAGATGCAGAGTACTATGGCCTACACTCCATGGTTGAAAAGCTACAGCTTCGACCTGAAATTGCTTCTATTATCGTCAAAGAATCCCATCGATCCCAGTTTCCAGGGTACCAAGATGCCAAGCATGACGTCATCCGAGCAGCAGTTGCTAATGCATCGATTAACAGAATCGGTGAAGTATTGGTATGTGCTTTCAGAACAGAGTTCAAGGCGAAAGTTCAGAACTTTAACCCCCTCCACGGATGCATCGTGGAATCAGCTCATGTTAGTATTGGGCCATGGGAAACACAAGCTGACGAAGAAGTGTTTATGAAATGTCTGGAAAATGATCTCATGGAGGATGGATTCAATGTCAAGCCACATGAGGGTAAACGGAAGTGTAAATATTACTATGGACAAACCTGTCAGAAATTTGTCTACAAGTTGCAAATCATATTTGATTGATATTAGATATCTTATATAATTTATTCAATACCACACACATTGTGCAGCCTTGTGGCATCTCACACCTAGATGTTCATGCTATTTGTTAGGCCAACCTTATTCTGTTACTTGAGTCATTGATCTGGTTGAATGGGTACCTCCGATTTGCAAGATATACTTGTCTGTTTTTATTTCTGGTTACTTTGGACAGACCATTTTTCTTTAAAATAGATTTGCCTAGTTTTTCATTACCATGCCAAGATGTTGGCGGAAATTATAATAAATAATGAACATTGTCTTAGTTGATATTATCAGTTTAATGTCCCGCAACATCCTCTTGAGACAGGTTATAAATACATATTTTTAAACATTCGAACAACTGGTTCGTGATATTTTCAATAATTTTATTTATGTGTCTATATTTGTGAACTTTAAGGTAGTGGTTCATCCATGATGCAATATTAAAATTGGTCGGACTGTTAAAATGGTTCTTTTCTATTGGGTAACGTAAAGTATCAAACACTTTCGACAGTCGATGATTCAAGTGATAGAACATGGTTGACTGTAACATGATTGTCAGTTTGATATGGACTGTCGCTACCGTTGTACTTGGCCAGTCACTTCCTCTGTAACATGGTCAACAATCAAACACAACAGCTTTATACTCATTGTGCATTGTGCATTGATTGACCTATGGTGCTGGGAGTAGTCACCATTGTTGTGTTGTGTTGTGATGTGTGACTGATGAACACGTGGAACACGTGGAACACATGAACACTTGGAACTCATGTTGAACTCTTGTAGTGCATATAGAACACTTAGACTTTAAAAAAAAATAAAAAATTTCTTTGGCAATGTTTTTTGAAAATATAGTGTGAGCAGGCGGTGAGGCGGTGTCCTTTTTTTCCCCGGTTGTTCAAACTAGTATGTAACCAAATAAACAGTTGTGTATCCAAATGTTCAAACTAGTAATACAAGTAGTATGTAACCAAATAAACTGTTGTGTATCCAAATAAACAGTTGTGTACAATCAACCCGGGAAAGGGCCTCTTTACATAAACATATTCCTTGATGAATAAAATACTGGAATACAATATTTGACTACCGTTGGACTATTTGAGGATATTTTAGAATTTTTTTTAAATGGAAATATAATGGAAATGTGTGGTGGACTTTATGATGATGCAGGCAGTGCCTGAGAACCAAGACTGTTTTTTAGCCTTTAGAGCTTGCTGAACATTTGAAATGCATGCTGAACAAATGGATGTGTAATCAGTATTAGCACCTCTCTTTCAGCTGTGTTATTGTCTCTGTAGTGTATGTACCCCCAGGAAGCATGTACAACAATACATGTATTCTGTATGTACAACAATGCATGTATTCTGTACGTACAACAATGCATGTATTCTGTACATATAACAATACATGTATTCTGTACGTACAACAATGCATGTATTCTGTACGTACAACAATGCATGTATTCTGTACATATAACAATACATGTATTCTGTACGTACAACAATGCATGTATTCTGTATGTACAACAATGCATGTATTCTGTACGTACAACAATGCATGTATTCTGTATGTACAACAATACATGTATTCTGTATGTACAACAATGCATGTATTCTGTACGTACAACAATGCATGTATTCTGTACGTATAACAATACATGTATTCTGTACGTACAACAATGCATGTATTCTGTACGTATAACAATGCATGTATTCTGTACGTACAACAATGCATGTATTCTGTACGTACAACAATGCATGTATTCTGTACGTATAACAATGCATGTATTCTGTACGTACAACAATGCATGTATTCTGTACGTACAACAATGCATGTATTCTGTACGTACAACAATGCATGTATTCTGTACGTACAACAATGCATGTATTCTGTACGTACAACAATGCATGTATTCTGTACGTACAACAATGCATGTATTCTGTACGTATAACAATACATGTATTCTGTACGTACAACAATGCATGTATTCTGTACGTATAACAATGCATGTATTCTGTATGTACAACAATGCATGTATTCTGTACGTACAACAATGCATGTATTCTGTACGTATAACAATGCATGTATTCTGTACGTACAACAATGCATGTATTCTGTACGTATAACAATGCATGTATTCTGTACGTACAACAATGCATGTATTCTGTACGTACAACAATGCATGTATTCTGTACGTATAACAATGCATGTACTCTGTACGTACAACAATACATGTATTCTGTACGTACAACAATACATGTATTCTGTAGGTACAACAATGCATGTATTCTGTACGTACAACAATGCATGTATTCTGTACGTACAACAATGCATGTATTCTGTACATATAACAATACATGTATTCTGTACGTACAACAATGCATGTATTCTGTACTTACAACAATGCATGTATTCTGTACGTATAACAATGCATGTATTCTGTACGTACAACAATGCATGTATTCTGTACGTACAACAATGCATGTATTCTGTACGTACAACAATGCATGTATTCTGTACGTATAACAATGCATGTATTCTGTACGTACAACAATGCATGTATTCTGTACGTACAACAATGCATGTATTCTGTACGTACAACGATGCATGTATTCTGTACGTACAACAATGCATGTATTCTGTACGTACAGCAATGCATGTATTCTGTACGTATAACAATGCATGTATTCTGTACGTACAGCAATACATGTATTCTGTACGTACAACAATGCATGTATTCTGTATGTATAACAATGCATGTATTCTGTACGTACAACAATACATGTATTCTCCTCAACATGTATTCTGTATGTATATATATCGGCATGCTCATAGACTTCTGTAGAAACACAGGGCTGGGTTGGCCCAGTAGCCTAACGCACGACAAACAAATGAGTTACGTCCTTGGTAGTTCCAGGATTCACTGATCATAGGTTCTGAATCCTGATTTGCACTGATCCTTGGTTTCTCATACACCTGCTCATGGGTTCACCAAAGAAAATGTCTGTGACTGCATCAATTTGGGCTTTCTTTCACATTAAGCTGACACACCGTTATGATGCATCTAATTCACTGTTCAAAGCTCACTTATTGACAGAAATACCAAGATATTTCACACAAGGTACATACACATTGGTGTATCACTGAAAAAACAGGACTATCCCTTTTTTAAGTTGAGGAGTATACACTGAAAGACACATTGTGACGTCACACTTTTGCTGATTTGTAAATGTTATTGCGTGAGTGCCAAGAACGCCCTATGAGATTCATAATGACGTATTTGAGGTAATAAGTGCCCAGGGTGCTCTCTATTTTAGAAATTGGTGGCTCTTATTAGAATATAATTTTGGTGATAATAAACAGAGTTGAAAGATCTTAAATTTCAAGGTTTATGCTGACAGCCTGAAATGATACAAAAGAAAAGTCTGTGCATATTATACATGACATATTTTTTTTCAGATTGCCTAAAATTGAGGGTGCATATAACACACAAGTGCGTATTATTCAGAATATAAGGGGCGGTCGGGTAGCCTAGCGGTTAAAGCGTTCGCCCGTCACGCCGAAGATCCAAGTTCGAATCCTGACATGGGTACAATGTGTGAAGCCCATTTCTGGTAACCCCCGCCGTGATATTGCTGGAATATTGTGAAAAGTGGCGTAAAACCAAACTCACTCACTCACACTATTCAGAATATAAAAGTCTTGTGCACATAGATCAATCGGAAGGGGTTGTTCACTAGCCAATATGTTAGCAAATGTTGCCGCGGGCACTTATTAAAACAGGGCGCTTATTACATGGAATACGGTAACTGTACCTGTTGGGAGCTGCAAGGCCTGGACGTGTTGAGCCAATGCAGGTATCATTAGCTTTAACATGGAATTGGATACATGTATTAATGTATGTTATTGGGGCCAATAGTCTTTATAGCGGACTACATTGTCTGTGTCGAAGTGTTCAATACTGCTGTATTACTGCTGTATTTCAGTGTAACTCACGTTGTATATGACTGTTATTGCAAGGCTTATTTGGCTTCTCTTATATTTGACATGTTCAGGGTAAAATTGGCTTACCAGATATTTGACATATTTTGGGTAAATCGGCTTTCCTATTCATGTATATGTAATGATATATTTTATGAATTTGTTTAGAATTAGCTTACAACATATGTGCCATGTTTAGGTACCTTAAACTGAGGTACTATGTATGTGACTCATTTTGTCCCATGGGCACCAAGGACGTCTTGAATTGCTGCATGAGCACCGTTCACTGCACCGGGGGAACACAATGAACGTCTTGACTTGCTAAGTGTGCACCTGTCATTGCACAGGGGAACACCATGAGCGTCTTGACTTGCGAAGTGTGCACCTGTCATTGCACAGGGGGAACACCATGAGCATCTGGACTTGCTAAGTGTGCACCTGTCATTGCACAGGGGAACACCATGAGCGTCTTGACTTGCGAAGTGTGCACCTGTCATTGCACGGGGGAACACCATGAACGTCTTCACTTGCTAAGTGTGCACCTGTCATTGCACGGGGGAACACTGTGAACATCTTAACTTGCTACTTGAGTAACTGTCATTGCACGGTTGAACACCATGAATGTCTTAACTTGCTACGTGAGTACCTGTCATTGAACGGGGAACACCATGAACGTCTTGTCTTCTCCACAGAGAGATTCAAGAAAAGAGTTGGTCCCAGTTCCCCATCTTATCAAAAGGGTAAATGAGGTGGCAAGAAATGGGGTTTAACTTCACGTTCAAGATTTTGCACTTATGAAGCTACATGCATTCACGGATGGGTGTGTTTGCATGTCTGTGGCTGCTTATACTAGTCCGGACTAATGCCGATTTTATAGTGCTAGCCCACTGAGATACCATGCCACAGTTTAACATGGATACCTTACTCAGACATATCATACTGACTCTGAACAGACCAGTCCTTGTTTTAGCCAGGCAGGGTAACAACAAGTACCCTTTTTTATTGTCATTTGATTTGACGGACAAGGGATCGAACCACGGACCTTGCGCTCTCCAGGCAAACACTCTGTCCTCTAGGCAATGGAGGCCTATGATAGATTAATGATAAGTATGTGATTACAATGTGTGACCCTAGTGGTTATGGGTCATCATGCTATGACAGACTAGGGGTTGCTCATGCTATCAACCACTAGTATGCCCCGCCCAGACTAGATTATTTACATGCTGCTGTGATATAATGGTGACTTTGCTGACTGGCGTAAAACAACATTCGCTCAGTCATCTTGAAAATGGTCTCATGCTACTAATTTTGGTCAAGTTTATTGTTAGATTTTCAAAAAAAATCATTTAGGAAAGTGTGTCAAAAACTGTTTTAGTTTAGGGAGCATCTATTAATTTCAGAGGGTGTTGGGTGGCAAGATTTTTAAAATGAAAAGTCCATAAATATGCCCAAAATAAAAAGGTTGTAGGCAGTAGTGAAAAAAATGAATAGCTTGTTTTGTGGAAAATACCCAAATGTAATTTTTTGTGTTGATAGTGAATATGAATGGATTGTTTGATGGTGCTCAGGAAATAAATAGTTTGTCACAGGCAGGAAAAAAAAGAGATTGTTCTCAGACCCCCCAACCCCAAATCAAATTGATGCTCCCCTATTAAGACTAACATGTCTCTAAGTTTACAAAAGTGATAAGTAGACAAGCCATCCACTGGTAACCATGGTAACAGGGAAGTGCATGGAAAGGAAGGGCTCTGGTGACAATAGCAGGCATTGGATTAAACCACATAGCTATTGATTCTGTTTGATCATGCATCCAAGTCTCGGTAATGTCTGTTTCAGAAGCAGGATCCAATGCTTCCTTTGTTTTGTTACTGTTCATACATGATATTTGTAGCTGATGGCTGTGAAAAAGTTTTACTGCTTTTTGATAAAATCCCATTAATGTGTTTTAGTAATACTGTTTTATTCGAGATTTGTTCTTCAGTTGAATTATGATTTATGAAGGAGCTATACTGTTGTGTAGATGTGGGCAAAGTGTACTTAATGAGAGCCGTCAGCTGTGTATGTACAGGATCATATGACACTGTTATGGGTAACGACTTTATTATTGTTTGTAGCAATGTTTTAGAGCTACTTCAGCCCTCCATCAGGTGAATACTGAGTAATTGTATTGAGTTAATCATGTTAATCATGTTAATCATGTTAATATATATGCCTGTTCCTCTCCCATTTGTCAGACTACCCATTTGTCAGACACCCCATTTGTTAGACACCTCATTTGTCAGACTACCTATTTGTCAGACACCCCATTTGTTAGACACCCCATTTGTCAGACACCCTAAAACAATGTATAGTTGAGGGCACATCAGGTGTGTGATATATTCCCTTAAATCCAAACAGACTACTCCTGTCGTCAACAACTGTCTGACTACTGGTACAAAAGAAAACAAACTATATGCAAATCAGTATTTATTCTTGATATATTATTACTTTATACTTTGGAATATATTGCTCAGTTAAAGGAGTTTTACATTGTATACATGAACTATAATACATAAACATATACATAATATTTAATGACCATCAATCATTATGAATATAGTAATATTTACTTCCACATCAATGTCGGTGTACTGTCAGTCATTCAAGCCAGAGTTGGAATGTAACCTGATGCATCCAGGAATTGCACTCACAAACTCACAAACTTCAGTGAAAACAAATATAGTTACAGTTTAACCAAGCCATTTAAAACTGCAAAGAGTTCTGTGTCATATCAATATGAGTAAAGGGGTGTTTGGCAGTTACAAAATATTCCAGTGTCTGACAACTGGGTGTCTGACACATGGAAGGACCTCAAATGCCTATCAAAGACTTGTATATGTATAATAGATATATACTGTTTGCTTGTTATGTTTATGACAATGCTCCATGATTTAGTGCCCAGTCAGGATTGGAATTGACATGTTCCTTGCTCCCTGAGATGGGACTGTTTATGTATGTATGTGTTAGATATACTGTTGTATACTTTTATTTATTGGTGTGTGAAGTGATGTGTCTGCCATCTTGTGATGTGTAGCAGAATTTTGTGACCAAGTTCATCATTATTGTTATCGTTATTTATATCATTTATAGACCTTCTAATGCCACATTGTTAAGATGTTTTAGTGTCACCAGTCTCCAATGTATGCATATATTTTTGTCACAGCCTAGTTATTTTGTATTTATATTACAACTTTCCCCTATTTTCATACACTGGTAATATCAAAAAGTAAACATGTTTACATCATTCTTCCAGTTGTTATGTGCTTGGTTGTGCCGAGTCATTAGATAACTATATAGTTCTGACAAACACCCGTTGTGATGGACACCCACCGTCCCAGATAGGGATCACTATGAA